AAAACAAATGTCACATAATCATGGTATTTGCATGAGAATCCCTGAAGTCAAGAGTATATTTGCTCTACGTGCATTGTCGGGCCTTAAAAACTGACGCCACCTTAAGTGACATTACAAGTGGTGTCATTATGGGCCCACAAGGGCGTATTAACATGGCAGCCTAAGATGGTGCCGGGAGGAAGTAGGGTGGGAGTATCTGTGGGAACTTTGCCTTAGCCCTTATTGGCCAAATACGCACTTCCGCACTCGTGAACACTGTGTGATTGCAATAGCTAGGCATTGAGACAGGATGCATGCTCTCGTAACCTTTAAGCTGATTGGAGGATGTAAAAACCTCCCTTCCCCATTTGCCTTTAAAAGCAAGTGCTTGTGTGATAATAAATGGAACTGCTCGACAGAACCCCCGCCGCGTCTGAGTGTCCTTTAATGGTTTGGTTGGGGCTGGCGGCTGTGCTCATCTTGCTTCATGGCTCTCTTCCCCTGTCTCCTTCCAACCGGGACTGGAGGGAAAGAGGAATCCGGGCAATTCGCTCGCCCACCAAAAGGTACACCTAGGGAAAGACTGATAAGGGGGCTAGGGCTGTTAGGGTTGGCCGGCGGCGGACTCGACAGTGCATGTTCACAGAAAGATGAAAGAAGCAAAGTAAAAAGGGAAGGGGTGTTATCAGAGACCAGCACCAGTATCCAGGTAAAAGGATAAATAACCTGTTCAAGATTATGCATCTAGTGTGAGGCAAGATCAATATTTAAACCTAGGCGGTCTGGCTCTGGAGCTTCCTTCCTGTATTCTAGAAAACAGAATCATACTGTTATTAAATTAACCCTCGGGCGGGAGCGCCGCCGTGCTTCACAAGCAGCGCACTATCCAGTGCGCCACCGGGCCGGCCCTAAAGTTCTTGTTTTAAAGGTGGGGCAAGAGTTCAGAGTCTGGAGAATACTTCAGGAAATATGCGAAAACGTCACCTCTCCAGAACCTTTAGGGAATAGGGTGTCCTGAAAAGCAGAATATTACAAAGAACTTCAATTTACCTCTTTTACATTACCTGTTTTTTTTTTTGTCTTCTTAAATTGAATTAGATTGAATTGTAATCAATCTTTTCTCGATGATTTAGTGACTTTATTAGGCATATCATTCTTTTTCATTTTAGCTATTCTAGTGGTAAGCAGTGGTATCTTAATTTGGATTTTCCTGATGATTTATATCCCTTCATGTGCTTGTTGGTCTTCGCTTTATTTTCTTTTGTGAAGCCTCTGTTCAAATCTCTTTCCCATTATTTTTAAAATTAGATTTCCTGTTTCTTATTACTTAGTTGTAGGAGTTCTTTATATATTCTGGATACAAATCCTTTGTCAGATTATATGTTATGAATGTGTTCTCCTATTTGTGGCCTGCCTTTTCATTTTCTTAACAGTGTATTCCAAAGAGCAGAAGTTTTAAAGTTTGATGGGGTCCATTTTTTCCTTTTATATTTTTTTCCACCTGTGTCTTGTCTAAGAAATCTTTGACTACCCCAAGACTACAAATTTTCATCTGTTTTCTTCTAGAATTTTTATAGTTTTAGCTTATACATTTAGATCTGTTGTCTATTTTGAGTTAATGTTTGCATATCATGTGAAGTAAAGGTTAAGGTTCATTTTTTTCCATATGGATATCCAGTTGTTCTAGCACTATTTGTTGAAAATCCTGTCCTTGTTGTTGAAAATCAGTTGAAAATCAATGTGTGGGTCTTTCTGAATATTCTATTCTGTTCTATTGTTTATGTTTATCATTATGTCATTACCACACTATCTTGATTACTGTAGCTTTATACAGTCTTGAAATTAGGTGGTGTAACTTTATTTTTTAAATTGTTTTGGTTAATTCGAGTCTGTTGCATTCTTATATAAATTTTAGAATCAGCTTGTCACTATCTTACAAACAAGCTTGTTGGGATTTTGATTGGGCTTTTGTTGAATCTATAAATCACTTTGGGGGAGAATTGACCTCTTATTTTCTGAATTAGGTTGGTATTACTTTTTTCTTTATTCCTTGACAGAATTCACCAGTGATGGGTGTCATATGAGGCTGGGATTATCTTTACAGAAACATGTAAAGTTACAAATTTAGTTTCTTTAATAGATATAAGGCTAGTCATAATTTCTGTTTCTTGTGCAAGTTTTCATAATTTGTGTCTTTGAATGATTTTTTGTTTCACCTATGTCAGTGTTTCAACCCTTGTTTTATTGTTATCCCCCTAAGGAACCTTTTTTAGAATTTTTTTCCCCTAACTACTGCCATTCCCATGAAATTTTAATACCACAGATATCCTATATATTGTGTTTATGTAGTGATTTTGTATCTGTGTTTTATAAATAGGAGAGTAAGATTTTTTTGCTTCCCAAGAACCAATTTTTGTCCTGATACAAGTTGTCAAATTTATTGGTATAAGATGATTCACAGTATTCCCTTATTATCCTTTTCATGACTGTCAAGTTTGTAATGCTGTCCCTTCTTTTATTCCTGATATTAATTTGTATTTTGTCTTCCTTTTTTCCTCAACCAGTATACAGTTTTATGCATTTTACTGACCTTTTTATAGAACCATATTTTAAATTATTATTTTCAATTGACACATAATAGTTATACATAAATGAGGTACAGTGTGATATGATCAAATTAAGGTAATTAGCATATCCATCACCTCAAACATTTATTTCTTCATGTGTTGGGAACATTCAAAATCATACCTTTCAGCTATTTGAAATTATACAATAAATCGTTGTTAACTCTAGTCACCCTACAGTGCTATAGAACACTAGAACTTATTTCTCCTATCTAGCTGTAATTTTGTATCTATTGTCCAGAACCAATTTTTAAAAAGTTTGTTTTTCTCTATTGTATGCCCATCTTTTATTTCATTGATTTCTGCTCTTTATTTTTCTTTATACTTTCTTTGAGGTAATTTCACTTCTCATAAATTTTTTTTTCTCTATTATATGCTCATCTTTAATTTCATTGATTTCTGTTCCTTTATATTTCTTTCCACTTTCTTTGGGTTAATTTTATTTTTCATATTCTAGCTTCTTAAGGTAGGAAGCTTGGATCACTGATTTACAATTTTTCTTTTCTAATATGATCATGTAAAGCTATAAATTTCCCTTGTAAATGTTGCTTTAGTTGCATCCCACAAATTTTGGTATGTTATGTTTTCATTTGCATTGAGGTCATCTCATATTCAGTTGGGTGCATTTTTTATATTTGGATTCAGTTTTAAGGATCCCTCATCCTTGTTTATTTCATGTTACTTTTTAAATATGTTTGACATTTACATGATTTCATAAGTCAGAGCTATACAAAAAGCTATACAAAGTAGAGTCATTCCCTCCCTTATCCCTTCCATCTTGTTCTCAACTACCTGTAGGTGACCACTTGCATTAGTTTCTGGTTTATTCTTCTTGTGTGACTGAACAAACAAACAGGTATATGTATTATTTTCGTATTTCTCTTTTCTTCTGTGAAAGGTAGCACACAATATACATACTCTTTTGTACTTTGCTTTTCTTTTTACTTACTAATACGTCCTTGAAATCACTCTGTTCCCAGTCCGTAGAGATATTTGTAATTCTGTTTTATAGCTATGTGTATATGTACCACAGTTTATGGTCATTAAGTAGATTCTAGAGTTTGGCAAATTTGAACATTGCTGCAATGGAAAATGTTGTGCATATGTACTTATTTTTAATTGGAAGTATATCTTTAGGGTAAATTGTTAGAAGTGGGATTGCTAGGTCGTAAGGTAAATTTATATTTAATTTTTTAGACATTACTAAATCTTCCCTCATAGGCTTTATACAAAATAGCAGTATTCCATTTCTGTCATTTCTTTTACATTTATTAGCTGGAACAATTCTTTAAAGAGAAACTTCTCATCTGATTGGTTATTTAGTAGTACAGCTTGGATAGGAAGAGCAGGGTAAAAGGTTGATTCTATTCTTTTATTTACCAGTTTTCAAAATAATTAATTCACTAACTTCTTCAACAATGACCAGTTAGTCATGTCTTTTTTTTTTAAGTGTCAGTATGACTTAACAGATTTACGTATATTTGATGTATTTTAATTCATTGTATTCATTATCTTTATTGATGCTCCAGTTCTACTTTTGGCTAGCAAGAACTTTTTTAGTTGTCCTCTGAGTTCTTTTGATAGGATCTTAGTAAGTCTGATAGATTCCTTGCTTATAGCTATGATAAATATTTTAGCTCATCTTGTACATTTCAAGCTCCAGACTTGGGGTACATTGGAGAAATGGCTGATTCCAGTTGCTTTTAATGGAAAGTGGTGTTTGGAGATCACATTCTAGTCACTAGGCTAGGGATGTTCTTTTTTACTGGGTAAATAAGAGGATTCTGAAGAGTAAAGTTATTTTGGTTAAATGTTGATCATAAAGCCCTGTGGCATTTAGCAGAAAGCTCTAGAATGGGAATCATTTCCTCTATTCATTCATTTGTCAAACATTTTTGATTATCTACCATGTGCCAGGCACTCTTTTTTTGTGTGCGTGATGGGTCAGGGGATCGTAACCCTTGGCTTGGTGTTGCCTGCACTGCGCTCAGCCAGTGAGCGCACCGGCCATCCCTATATAGGATCCAAACCCGTGGCCGTGGCGCATTGAGTGCCGCTGTGCTCCCAGAGCCACACTCTCCTGAGTGAGCCACGGGGTCGGCCCACCAGGCACTCTTTTATATGCTGGAGATACATAACGGTGCCGATCAGTAAAGGCAAAAACTTGATGGGAGTTGGACTCTAAGTCCAGTTAAGGCAGGATTCTTATTGTTAACTGCTGCTAATGATCTTGGCCAACACTTTACTTTTTGGGGCTTTTTTCATTTATAAGATTATAAAATTGTACTAAGTGGTCTATAGTGTCTTCAGTTGAAAAGTTTTATAATTCTGTTTCTTGCCTCATGCTTATTCAATGTTTGTGGTATCCCTCCCTCTCTTTTTTCTATCTTCTTACAGAGATGACAGAAGAAGAACAGTTTGCTCTGGCTCTCAAAATGAGTGAGCAAGAAGCTAGGGAAGTGAACAGCCAGGAGGAGGAAGAAGAGGAACTCTTGAGAAAAGCCATTGCTGAAAGCCTGAATGTAAATATGCTATGTTAAAAAGTTTGTGGGCATTGGTCAGCAATGTTCTTTGATTTCTACGGTGTTATGGTTGTATTAGGAACTAGCTGTAGCAGTTTGTAGGATTTTCAACTAACAAATATTTCCCATAATTTAAAAGTCTGTGTTCAATTGTTGGTTAACCCAGTTTGAAATGTTTTATTAATTCTGTATGAAAATCCTTTCTTCCACTGTACAGATTTTTCTGTCCATGGCTTAAAAGAACCATAGTAAGCTGGCAGCTTCTGAAAAAAATTACTGAGTACCAAGAAGCCATAAGGGAGCAAGATAAGGTGCTTACCTCCCCTATTTTGTGGGGAGAGCAAAGGGAATGAGAATTAGAGGTGGGTTATGGAGAGAAAGAATGGGCAGTTTTTTAAAATAATCAAATAATGTTATATCATGATTTGAATATGTGTCATTGAAAAAAAATTTTTTTTTTTTTTTTGACGGCTAACTGGTAAGGGGATCTGCATCCTTGATCTTGGTGTTAAAAGGCTGTGCTCTAACAAACTGAGCTAACCGGCCACCCACGGAATGATTTTTAATGTGCAGGATACTTGCCAATGGCAGGTCCTGAGCAGTCTTTTATGCCATTTGCCTCGCTATATTAGAAAAGGGTTTAGTAGAGTTATCTAGAACAGCACTTTGCATAGAGGCATTCAGTACTCATTGTGGAATTCATTTGAATTGAGCATGTACATTTTGGAGAGGAGAAACTCTTAGGTACAGTGGTCTCTCCTTTTTGTCCTTTCTGTGACCCTTCATGTATACCTATTTTAATAATAAACCTGGTCTGGTGTGGGATCGCTTGTTTCAGAGTTGCCGGCCTTCTGATGCTTCTGCTACTGGATCTCGACCTCTGGCCACTGGACCATCTTCACAGTCCCACCAAGAGAAAACCACAGACTCAGGGACTACTGAAGGCATGTCTTCCTGTTCTGACTCATTCCACTCATCAACATAACCATGTCACAGGGACCTCATGCTGAGAGTAGATATACAGAAGTGCCCAGAATCCCTTTGGTGATATTGAAGAGGTTAAGTTAGAATGCAGTTGAGATCTCACTAATATCCAGCATACTTTTATCTCCTAAGAAAAACCAACATTTGGTTAAACCCAAACAAGAGCCTTTCTTACCCACATTATGTAATTCTTGGTAAGTGATAGCTTACCAAGCCCTCTTAACAAAAAAGTTTGTCTTTAGCCTTACTTTTTCTCAAATACCTACAGGCATATGGCAGCTGGTACCTCCATCACTGTATAAAGGCTCATATATCAGTCAGGGAAACGAGGCTGAGGAAAGAGAGGAGCCTTGGGACCACACTGAAAACACTGAAGAGGAGCCGGTCTCTGGCAGCTCAGGAAGCTGGGACCAGTCAAGCCAGCCAGTGTTTGAGAATGAGAACATTAAATCTTTTGACAGATGTACTGGCCTCTTGGCTGAGCACACGCAGTGTGGGAAGCCACAGGAAAGTACTGGGAGGGGTTGTGCTTTTCTCAAAGCTGCCCAAGGTAGGCGGGACACATCTAAGCACTGTCTGCCTACCCCAGCAGATGCCAAAGGTCTCCAGAACTTTGGGGGCACAGTGCACTACTTCTGGGGTATTCCATTCTGCCCTGCTGGAGTAGATCCTAACCAATATACTGAGGTCATTCTCTGCCAGTTGGAGGTTTATCAAAAGAGTCTGAAAATGGCTCAGAGGCAGCTCTTTAAAAAAAAAGGGTTTGGAGAACCAGTGTTACCTAGACCTCCTTCTCTGATCCAGAATGAATGTGGCCAAGGAGATCAGACTAGTGAAAAAAATGAAGGCATCTCAGAAGATATGGGAGATGAAGACAAAGAGGAGAGGCAGGAATGTAGGGCATCTGTCTGGCACTCAAAAACCAAGGATTTGCAAGAAAGCCCAATTAAAAGCTTGAAAGAGAAACTTTTGTTGGAGGAAGAACCAACAACCAGTCATGGTCAGGTAAGAGTCAGTGATGCTGTAATTAAGGATGACTTATTTGCAGATTAAACAAAAATTGTCTTAGCTATTTGTTCTTTTTGTGTCGTTTCCCCCCAATTATTAAAGTAATACATGCTCACTTGAGAAAATTGGGAAAGCACAGAAGAGTATAAAGAAGAAAAAAATTATCTATAAATTCCAGCAATCATTATTTCTGTGCCTATAAAAACGCATTTTTCTTTTTAATTTTTGAACAAAATGAAGACTCTTCTGTATAAGCTTTGTTCCTTTCCTCCACTTTGTGGTTTATCCCAGATCCTTTCCCAGTTATTAAGTATACTTGAAAACATTGTTTTATCATATGGATATACCATAATTTATTTTTTGTTTTTTAAAATTTTTATTATTTCTAAAAAATTAAGTTTTTGAATAGACGATAATGTTCATATGGCTTAAAATGCAAAAGGATATAAATAAAATGTCTTTCTTGTTCCTGTCCTCCAGCTAACCAGTTTCCTCTCTCTGGACTCAATCCGTGTTACTAGTACTAGTTTAATGTATCTTTTCTATATATTTTATGTAGTACAAGCAATATACATATTTCCCCTCTCCCACCTTCTGTTACACAAATGGTAGCATATTATACACATTATTTGGCACCTTGCTTTTTTCATTTAATATCTCTGTGAAGTCATTCCATAACTGTACATAAAGAATTTCTTCATTTGTTTTTTTTTGGATGTGGTATATACCCGACCCGTATGGATGAGTCGGAGTTAGGTTTTTTCCAGTATTTTACTATTACAAACAGTACTGCAGTGATTACTCTTGTACACTGTACTGAGAATGTTTCATACACATGGGAGATATTTGTAGGATAATGTCCTGTAGATGTAATTGGTGGATCAAAGGATATATACATTTATAATTTTGTTAGCTATTGCCAAATTGCCCTTCACAGAGGTTGTATACATTTAAACTCCCACCAGCAATGTATGAATACTAGTTTCTCATATCCACACCAATGGTAGTATATCAGACTTCTTGATCTTTGCCAGTCTGAGAGATGAAAAATGGTATCTCAGTGTGGTCTTAATTTGCATTTCTTTTAATATTTGTGAGGTTGAACTTTTTCCCACGTCTAAGACCCATTTATATTTCTTTTCCTGTCTGTTTAGATAATATGGTCATTTGTCTTTTTCAATTTATTTTTTTAGTGGTTTGCAGGTATCCTCTATATATCAGGGGAAAAGTAGTCCTTTGTCTGTGATGTGAAGTACAGATAGTTTTTCAGATTATTTCCTCCACGGTGGTATATTTCTGATTTTGCTTGTGGTGGTTTTCTATAATTTACTGAAACCAATTTCCATTTTGGGACATTTAGGTTGCTTTTACAGTCTTTTCCTGACATATCTACATTGTATTATATATGAAAGTATAATATATATTGTATTATATATGAAAGTATAAATATATGAAAGTATAATATAAAGTATAATATATGAAAGGATATATCCACATATATCCTGTTTTTTTCCTCTAAATATCATAAAAGCAATCATATCATTACATGCTCTTTAAAACTATGAAGAGTATTCTGTTTTATGACTATACTGTTTTTTGTTGCTGTTTCTCTGTTACTGGACTTTGAGATTTTGGTTTTGTTTTACTGTTATCTATTTGTTCTGTCTCTCATATTATGATAAAGTTTCAAGAAATGCTCCAAGAAGCTTCATAGCATAGTGTAGAGAGCATGGATTTGGAGTTTGAATTTTGACTTCTGTGTTTTAGTAATTGTGTGTCGATGAGCAAGCAATTTAACCTCTCTGAATCTCAGTTTTCACATCTGTAAAATGGGAATAGCAATTCTTATCTTTCAGTAGTTTAATGGTTAGAGTGAATTTGAATAAAATGCGTGATATAATGCTTAGGAGTTATAGGCAATCAACAAATGGTAATTTTCTCTAAGAGATTGGAAGGTCATTCATTGGGGGTGCCTATGGGATCATTCTTCCCTATCAACCCTCTTCATCCACATTCTGGAAAGATTGTTGTATGGGAAGAGAAGACATTTTTCTTTACAGTTCTTCTAGTGACTAGCCTCTTTTTCAAAGGAAAGTTGGTAAACACGTTATGATAATGTGTTTGTATTTTACAAACCAGAGATGCTGCTGCTTAACAGAATAAATTCAGTCCAAAGAGTGACACTTAGTGAGTTATTGTAATTCAAGTTGTTGTATTGGAAGATTCCAAGGGCCAGAGTTCTCAGAGCATAGTTCTGTGTCAGATTTGAGAGCAACACCTTTAAGGGCCGGCCCGTGGCTCACTTGGGAGAGTTTGGTGCTGATAACACCAAGGCAGTGGGCTCGGATCCCTATATAGGGATGGCCAGTTAGTTCACTTGGGAGAGAGTGGTGCTGACAACAGCAAGTCAAGGGTTAAGATCCCTTGACTTAAAAAAAAAAAAAAAAGCAGCACCTTTGTAATAGTCTGGAAGAGGTCAAAATTTAGTGTCTCGTCTTACTAGGTTGAAATTCTGTGACTCTCACTTCATGAACAGTCCACCAGATACTACAGATATTATTATTAGTTGTTACTCTTTACTACAACAAACCAAATCAAGCTACTTTAATTAAGAAGAGGACTATATCATAAGGAAAGCAGGTATGTCATAAATTCTAAAACAGGACTGTAACCAAGCCTGAAGAAGATATTGGATCTAGAAGATCATCTAATTTTTCTACATCTCAGCACTGTATTGCATCTGCTTCATTTTTCTCCTTGTAGACTGGCTTTCTTTTCTTCTGTTTCTCATGGTAGGAGGAAGGAACTGAGCTTATAGATCCCAAATTTAAATATTGCAGGCTACAGGAGATTTACTGTCTCCCAATTCTGATTTTAAATTTCCAGGAAAGAACTTATGGCCCATTTGGGTTCATAACCCTTACTAGCTTTGGCTATGGCCTAAAAGGGGGTATGTGTCAAATTGTACAAATGGCTGTGAACCCACTGCTAATTGGGTGGCAGGGGTGAGGGGCAGTCCTCAGTAAAATGACACCAGGCAGACAATCTAGTAAGTAGCCAACATAGACATTAACATTAATTTTAGAAATCACTTAGAAATGCTGAAAAATTTAAAGAGGAAAGTTAAAAGCATGCAGGATACACCATTCAGTGATGTATTCCTTCACATTTTTTTCTTTACCTATTTTTGTATGTATATTATTATATTTTTGTATTTTTAATTTAACATTATGTAAACATTTTCTCATGATGTTAAAATTATAGATTTTACTTTTAATGACTATATTATATTCCAGCTTATGAATTTACCATAATATTTTAAACATTTTCCTATTGCTAGGTATTTTGGTTGTGATGAACATCTTTCTACATGAAACTTTTCTTTATTCAAGGTCAGCGTCATTAGAGATAGGGAGCCAGAAAAAAATGCTGGGTTAAAGTGTTATGAACAGACTTGCTATTTATTGCCAAATTGCTTTTCAGAAAGGTTGTTCAAATTTGCACACCCTCCTTCTAGCAGTATATGAGAATGCCTGTTTCACTGCAGCCTTGCCAACATAGAATAGCACCTTAAAAAAAAAAAAACACATTAATTTTATAGGTAAATAATGGCAATCTTTTGATTGCGATTTTACCTCTAGTCTTGATCTTTTGCTTTTAGGAGCTGTGGGTAGAAGGAATTTATGTGTTTGTTAAACGTTTCCTGTTGAATGAGGCTTTGCTAGAGCTGCTCACATATCTTGGTTGATAGAGATAGCAAGAGAGCCCCAGAAATAGGGACTTAGGAAAAGATTCACCTTGAGGCAAATGGCTTAGTCTGTATGAAGGTTATTAAAACTTTAGAGTCAGACGATAACTGGTTTCTGGTGTCACTGAGACAGGGTAGGGAAGTTGTTAATGAAGATTGAGGAGTTATCTTGATGGCATTACATTGGGGAGGTGGAGGGGGTAGTATGTTGATGTGGTCATTACTTTTCAGAGTTTGATCCTTAATTTTTTAGTCAAGACGCTGGAATTTGTTTCCTAGAAATGACCAGATTATGTGGGGTTGTAAGAACTGACTTTGACTAGCCAAACTTCAAGCTGATGTATATAAGTTTATTAATTTATTATGGGATAGAGACATTTTCAGTGACCAGAACACTCAGGTTTACCATATACTGAACCTTCTAGGATGAAGGTATCTGGAAACCTGAAATAGTAATCAGAAAATGGAAATGTTAAGTAAGGTTCAACTAGTCTATGGAAAGGCCTGATAAGCCACCACTGCCCCCACAAAAGAGGAAGTTTCTGGGCCGACCCGGTGGCGCATTGCTACAGTGCACCGCTTGGGAGCGTGGAGGCGATCCCGCCGAGGGTTCGGATCCCACATACAGACCGGTTCCCGCTCGCTGGCTGAGTGAGGTGCGGGTGCGACACTGAGGGTTTCGATCCCGTTGCCGGTCCCGGCCCAGTGCGGGCGCGACAATGAGGGTTGCGATCCGTTGCCGGACACGAAAAAAGACAAAAAGGAAAAAAAAAAAAAAAAGAGGACGTTTCTGTGATGACCAGTTGATTTTTCTATTCACTTTTACTTCCCACATCCCAGTGTTGAAGACACTCCTTGATTCTGGATCATCGTTTTTTTCCTTTTTAGATTCACTGCAAACTATCTCTTTTCCATTAACATTATTTCTTCAGGTAGAGTGCAGTGTCTTGATTAGGCCACAGCTTACCTTAAAGTTTCATTCCTGTCGTACTTCCATGTTCACTTTAATTAGATTTGGGTACTCTAATCAAATTTTTTTGTTTTGCTATCTTATTTTCATATTCTGGAAGAACCTAACTTTACCGCTATGTTCAGATTACTGCAATTGAGGTGTAAGTTTGGAAATTAAAATGGTTAGTTGAATTGAAGACATTCTTGAGATTCTATGTTGAAATGGTTGGGAAAAGGATCATTGAGTAAACAATATAATAGTAGTGGTTAGAGCGTGGATTTTGGTCCCAGCTTTGCTTGTGACTATGTGATTTAAGGCAAATTATTTAACCCCTCAAAATTTTACTTTTCTCATTTCTAAAGTAATTTAATAGTTTAGCCTCATAAGATTCTTGTGAGGATTAAAGGAGGTAATGCATGTAAAGTGATTAGCATAGTCTGTTACTTAATAGGTACATATTATTTTTTTAAAGCAATTACACTGGGGAACTTTGAGATATGCTTCAGAGTAAGGTAGAGATGGAAGTATCTTGTAACTTATATAATGCTGTGATTACTTCTGAAGCGCAAGACTTAATCACCCAGTTGTTCCAAGATGATAAAATTCTATTAAATGAACACTAGGTGTCAGTATTTACTTTTTTTTTTTTTTTTTAATTTTTTTAAAAAAAGAACTTTCGGCACGGCTGAGTTCAAACTGTGAGTCAGGTGATTTGTTGCTGTTGTATTTTAGTTCTTTTGATAGTTTTGTTCAACTCTCATTTTTCATAAAGATTACATTCCTGATCCTTGTACAACTTTTATCTTCCTTCTGACTGGAGACTCAACTCAGCTATTCTTGTTCTTTTAGTATATTTTATCATTAATCTGAGTGGTAGAGAGATGCCTAACTTGTTTAGGTTTTTATATCCTGTTAGGAAACACTGAAAATTTCAGCAAGTAGCTTTACATCTACTAGAAGTAGCCCCACAGTCCAGGTACTTTCTCAGAAGTCTGCCTAAGGCAGCAGTAGCTGCTTTTTCAGAGCTTCTTTTTCTATGTTGTTCTGTGCATTTACATTAATGAGTTGACATTTGCACCAGCTCTACTGTTAAACAGTGAAAATAATCTTTTCCTTGTGCAGTCCATATTTGTTACATTTCTTAAAAGATATTCCTGTTGCCAGGTATCAAAACCACAATGGCAGATTTGTAGCAAAAAGAATCTTTTAACCTTCCTTTTGGGATGTCTCATGTTATGGCTTGGTTGTGCTCAGAGAGACATCTTTCATGAATTGCAATGTTTTTCCTAATGCAGTGTTTCCATTGAAAATTGGACTTTTCTTTGTATTTCCTCCTTCCACAACAAAGACTTTATAATTGCTTCTCTGAAATTATAATTCATTTGATCTACCAGTTAATACTTATATAGATTTTGCATTTTACAAAGTGCATTGCATACATTATCTTGTTTAATTCTTACAGTACCAGTCTGTGAAGCAATTGTTAATACCCATTTTAAGATGAAGAAGGAGATTCAGATGTGATTTACCTATGATTACAAAGTTAGTAGGTGATTTAGCTCTAATTTAAATACCAGTCTTTTGATTCCATAGGGTATGCTCTTTTTATTGAAACTTACTGACTTATGTAAAATGTTTTATTCTTATTGCTAAATGATAATGTTGAACAATTAAATTTTTTTCAGAAAGGAAGAGAAATCAGTTCATCTGTGTCAGTATATTTAGGATGTTATATATTTCTTTTCAGTCTTCCCAAGGGCTATTTGTTGAAGAAACTTCTGAAGAAGGAAACTCTGTACCTGCCTCACAAAGGTGAGATTATATGTTGTTGTGGGTCTGAATTCTCCTCCGATGGTGTCAGCATAGGGGAGATGAGCCACATAAGTGAGACTGTACATGGACAGCTCATAGAAGCCTAGAACATTAGGGCGGGAAGAGGTCTTACAGGTTTTCTTGTCCAGTCCAGCCATCTTGGGATAAATCCCATTTACATTACTTCTGAAAAGTGGTCACATCCTCCTACTCTCTTAACTAACTACACTAGCTTTCTATGCCAATTTGAAGGCACCAGACTGCTTTCTTTATGGTCCTTCTATTCTTCCTATTCCCTTTGTTCTCTCTGCTTACTCTTATTTTATCTTCATATCCAAACTGTATACATCTTTTAAGTCTGCTCTTAAGACTTACATCTTCTTTGAAACCTTTACATTATTCAGGCCACACAGAACCTGTGTCACTCTCACTCTGTCCTGTGCCACTTTGAATCTCTTTGTATCTCTTCTGTCCAGTAAATGGTTGTGTTTGCATTATCTCCTCCATTATTCTTGATTGATTGATGGGGTTACCTTCTAAGTCTTTTTACTTTAATAATAGGTAGTAGTTTATTGCACTATTAGCTGGATCAGGCTTCCGATCACTTTTCCCCTTCATCTGATAGTTGAGTTTTGGGAATTTCTCAAGAGTTCAATTTTATATTGATTGTCATCTCCCATATGGAAGTTGAGGCCCAGTTGCCATTTGCTGTAAATTAGGTGATGGTCTTTCTTAGACTTTTGGTTGATAGTACAGAAGGTCCCCCAATTTATGATTTTTTTTTTTTTACTTTATGATGGCGCTAAAGCAATAATGCATTCAGTAGAAACTGTATTTTGAGTACCCATACAACCATTCTGTTTTTCACTTTCAGTATAGTATTCAATAAATTACATGAGATATTTAACACTTTATTATAAAATAGGGTTTGTATTAGATGATTTTGCCCAACTGTAGGCTATTGTAAGTGTTCTGAGCAAATTCAAAGTAGGCTAGGCTAAGCTATGATGTTCATTAGGTTGGGTATATTAAGTGTATTTTTGATTTAATGTATTTTCAACTTATAATTGGTTTATCAGGATGAAAACCCATCATAAGTTGAGAAGCATCTGTACTAGGTATTTCTTCTTGAGCTGAAGAATATGGCTTTGGTTTGATTTTCCTGCTGTTAAGATAGTTTTGGAAGTGATTTTAACTGGAGTAGGCCTTATGCTCCCTGTAGGCCTCTCTGCTTTATTGTGATGACTCTTACGCAGAGCAGATGTAGGTTTTAATAAATGATTATATGCTTTGTCACCAGGAGAGAGTTGGGATCGCGGGCAATGTGGTTTGACTTCAAATTGATTAGCCCATTTTATAAATGTCAGAAGATTGTTTTGTGATGGACCCTTTGAATAGAGACGTAATGTTACATGCAGAGTAAACTACGTCTAGCTTGGGTTTATAACAAGTGCTATGAGATGTTTTATTTAGAGAGAGAAATCACTTGTGGTTTCCTATCAGGATTTTGTTATTTATCATGAGTCTAAGGTGGCTATTCTCTCTTTTCTGTGGTTCTTGGTTGATGTGAGGGTTTGCGCTTTTAAGAGTCCATTGTATACTTGATTAAACTAATTGTAAAGCTCTGTGAAGCATGAGGGGCTAACTCAGATGCTCAGATCTCTCAGCCGTGTGTTTCTGTGTCAGGAAGAGATTTTATTCCATGAGCAGGCAGGGAAACCAGAAGGTTGGATGAGGGAAGCAAGCCATTCATAATTAAGTTTTTCTAGGAAGAGATATTCAACTTGTGTGGGCAGACTTTTGCTGTAGGGCAGTTTAGTTTTGTTGGTTGGAAAGCCACATCTTGAGATAAAGAGGAAATTTAACTGCAAGGTGAGAGAAAAGCTAGTGTGTTGTCAGGAGAATCTCCCTGTCTTCTTTTATGAGTTTACAAATCTCTAGTCTTCAGAAGGCTGAGATGAAGGCTATAAAATGCATTTAACATTGTTATATTGGAGTTTTTGTCTTCTGTGATACAGATAGTTTATACCATTCAGCCTTCCTTTGTGGAAACTTTGAAAGGGGGTTTCTTTTCATTCAGTGATTTCACTGGAATTGTTGCTTTAAGCATGTTTATTTTCTCTATTTCTGGCCTGGAGTTTTCACTACTGACTCCTTGCTTCCCTGTTGTGCTTTTGTGGTATTAGACGGCAGGTATCAGATTACCTGTGGCTTTGTGAAGGACTCACTGTTGCTTTTGGCCCTGTGTTCTGATTCATTTTACTGGGAGTTCACTTGGGGTTTTATTCTTTTTCAGCATTGTTGCTTTGACCAGTAAGAGAAGCTCAGTCCTTATGCCAGAGGATTCTGCAGAAGAAATCACTATTTGTCCTGGTAAGTACCCCAGGAATAGTACTTATTTAAACTGTACATTCAGAGCCAAGAGGATTTTATGTTTTGGTTTATGTGCTCTCATAGTTGGGCTCTCCTCAAATCTGCTTGTTATAGAGCAGATTTTTCTCAGAGCCTTTAACTAGTTTTTACATTGCCATTCATTGGGGTCTTATTGCGTAGGAGGTCCGGAAATTGAGTTTTGTGCACAGTTCTGCCATTGGCTTATTTTTATACTTAGATAAGACAACCTGGTTAAGTGCTTTAGTTTGCTTTTTGTCACTTGTAGAGATTAAAAGATGTTAGTTGAGACTTGAGAGGCTTATTCAAAGTTGCACATGGATGGATTTATATTACAAAATTATTTTAAATTAACCAAGATACTCACTATGGGAACTCTTAAGTTGTATAATATGAAGAATTATTTTGTGATATGAACCACTCCTTTCTAAGTAATTTATTTTAGCTTATGTATATTTTTTATTTTTTTATTAAAAAATTTTTTTTATTAACATATTCATTTTTATAAATCATAGCTATTCTTTATGCCCCTTTTCCAATCCTCCCTCCCCCTCTAATTACCATAGATTTGTTCTCTTCATCTGATAGATTAACTGTTCCACTCTGTTTGTTGCCTAGATGATCAGTCCAGTACTGAGACAGGTGTGATCAAGTTCTCCCCTGTTATCATAAATCAGATGCTGCTTCTGTTACTCTGGAGTGTGCTTTGTAGAGAGAGAAGACTTCTTTTTTTTTTTTAGTCTCTGCTGGTTCCTCTTCTAGTATCAATGCAGTGTAGAGCCTGGCATGCCATCTGCATGCTGGCTGTGACTGCTGCTATAGAGACTAGCTGCGTTTGTGGCAGCCATGGCAATTGCAGTGGCTATGTTGGGCTACCCATGTGGAAATGGCGATTTTGATGTGCTCTTTACCTGGTTTCAGCTGGGTTTGGCTTCCCCTGGCTCCATGCCTCAGGTCCCTGTTGGGGCCCTGGGGTGATGGCAGCAGCTTGCTTAGTTGTGGCTGGGTTCGGCTTGCCCTGGCTCCATGCCTCAGGACCCTGGTGGGGCCCTGGGGTGGTGACAGTAGCTTGCCTAGTTGCGGCTGGGTTTGACTTCCCCCAACCCCACAATTCAGGCCCTGGCTGGGGCCTGGGGAGGTGGTGGCAGCTTGCCTAGTTGTGGCTGGATTTGGCTTCCCCTGGCTCCATACCTCAGGACCCTTGTGGGGCCCCAGGGCAGTGGCAGCAGCTTGTCTACTTGTGGCTGGGTTTGGCTTCCCCAAGCTCCATGCCTCATTCTAAGGTGGTGTTGCGGAGCAGTTGGAATGGAGGGGGAGAGACGAAGGGGGTAGTAAAATAGGATGAGAAGAGGAGAAAAGAGAGGGAGTGTGATCGAGGCCCATTGCACCTCCTTCATTCCAGCAGAGGAGACCAGGGGGCTTCCAGCTGAGGCTTGGTCGTTGCTGGGCTGGATGCAGATGTCAAGGGGGTGCGGCTGAAACCCTTGGCCCCCCACTGCCCTGGCTCAGGAGCCTGGGGTACTTCCTGTGGTGGCTTGGTGGTTGTTGCTGGGCTGGTTGCAGGTGTCTAGGGGTGTGTGACTGAGGCCCCTGGCCCCCCATCACCCCAGCCTCAGGAGCTTGGGGTGCTTCCTGTGGCAGCTTGGTAGTTGTTGCTGAACTGATTGCAAATTATATTTTCTTTTTTGGCTTTTCTTAAAAGTGGAGCCCGTTTTATTTATCAGTAGCCTTATTCATGTGAGGTTGAGGGACATCCTACTAATGTTCAAGGTCTTTGGACAGCAAGCGTTATACACATGTTAATACAAGTCCTATCAGGTTTTCCCTCAGGTTTCATGTGAACTATCAAGGTTAGAGATACTCATCATAGTTTTCTTATTTTGGTTTCTTTCAAGTTTTTTTCCACAGAAACTCAAACTTAGTTCACATGTAGTCTAGGAAAGTCCTGTAAATATTTTTAAACATTTAGCAGTTTATCATAAAGATCTTTATTTTTTTTTAAATTTAACTATGTTGGTTTTTATTGAAAGTGGTTCACTTACTACCTAATGATATCCTCTAAGAGACCCCACCACCCAGTGTTCTAATTTTGGCAGGAGCACTCAAGGATGCTATGTCAACTTTGTGAAAAGAAAGCTTGGGCCGGCCCAGTGGCGCACTGGAGAGTGCTCCGCTTGGGAGTGCGGCGGCGCTCCCGCCGAGGGTTCGGATCCCATGTGGAGACCGGTTCCCGCTCACTCACTGGCTGAGTGCGGTGCGGGCGCAGCACCGAGGGTTGCGATCCCTTTACCGGTCAGTAAAAAAAGACAAAAAGGAAAAAAAAAAAA